ATAATGAGTTTGATCACATTCATACAGCTCTCTACTAGATCTATAATCCGTTTGATCACATTCATACAGCTCTATACTAGATCTATAATCAGTTTGATCACATAGACACTGATGGACACACATCAGAGACAATGAGGGGTTCAGTGTCTTGCCCAGGGACACTTCAACATGTGACTGCTGGTGGAATCGAACCCCTAACTCTTGCACTGGAGGATGACTGCTCTAACCACTCATCCACAGCTGCCCAAAGTAAAAATAAAAAACTCTAATACAGAGTTGGGCTTTTATTATTAAGCCGAATTAGAAAATGCAGAAAAAGGCACCGAATCTGCTAAAAACACATTAAAAACTGAGTTCCTACAAATATTTGAACGTATTTATTCGTTTTTCTTAATGAAGTTTGGTGTCTGCGCTGAGGCCCACACTCACCGGTGCTTTCATCCGTCCGCCCCCCGCCGCCTTCCTTCCACTCCTCCCGCCCGCCTCCCCCCCGGTGTCCCCGGGCGATGATGGACTCGATGAGCTCCAGCTTCCTCCGCAGCGCCTCGTTCTCTTTGCGGCTGCGGGAGACCTCGAGCTGCAAGGCGGTGTAGCTGTCGTCCACCAGCCGGCAGATCTCCGCCGCCGCCGTTTTAGACAGCGCCTCCATGATGGACGCCACCTGACCGTGAAACGCCTTCAGGCCCGTCATTCTGCCAGAAACCGTCAAATAAACAAACTTCACGATCAAACACTGCGGAGGAAGCGCGGCCCGTTGAGGACGGTTTATTTCAAACAAGCATCGGTTCACCTGCCGGAAGCTGCTGCTGTTGTTGTTGAGCGTCGACTCCTCCTGTTCCGGTAGAACGACTTTCAAAATAAAAGAACTTTACCTTTTCATTCAACCTTTTTTCTACATTCGAGGACTCATTTACAAGAGGGACCTGTTTTAAACAAAAAACACAAATGATGTTTTTAGTTTTCTAGCTTTCCCCTACTTTTTTTCCTTTTGACTGTCCTTTTGGTTGCCATTTTATTTTAATTTGTTAAAAAAAGAAACATGTGTTTGCCTCTTATGATTGTCCATTGTTGTTGTTTGTTGTTCATGTTGTCATCACTCTTTGTTAGAATCAGGTCTCTGGTAAATGAGTCTCTGAGGCTCAGTGGGATTAACCTGTAGAAATAAAGGTTGAATGAATGATGTACACACAACAATAAACATTCATATAAAAGCATATGAAGTGAAAAGTGAATAAAATAGCTGATATAAAACGAAATTAAAAAAACATGCTACATTATAAAACTGTAAAATACTAAAAACAGGAAAATGTCTGCGTTGGTTTTTGCATTTAATTTAACATTTGTTTAAAATCCCTTAGGGAGGTCAAATGATATGGATGTTAATGTCATAAGATTTTTTTTTTTTTTTTAACTACGAAGCAGTAAAATAATTTAAAACTTGATTTAGGTTGTTTCACCTGTTTACAAATGTAAAAAAAAAAGGTGATCTATAAAAATACATTTTGGTATACTCCAGTTACCTGAACCACTTCAAAGGGACACATTTGTATGTATCGATTTATCTGTGCTTAAAAATAAGTTACTTTTGCTTTAAAATGCTTAAAGCATTAATAACTTCTGAACTGATCATTTCTCTAAACATTAATGACCTAAATTTATCCCTGGTAGATGCTTTCTGTAAACGTCTGTTCTGCTGACTTCATTTATGAAACTAAAACTTCCCGCAGTCCTTGAACGCAGCAGAAGACCCGTTTCCATAGCAACAAGCTACAACCGGAGACGACGATGGTTCACAGTGAGTTCTTAAAACTTAGACGACAAAAACAAACACATTAGAAGTTAATAGTATTTTTAATTCATATTGTTTTTAACATTTGAGGTTCAGTTCATTTTAAATCTTTTTTTTTAGATTAAATGAAGTTGTTTGTGGTAATTTAAGCAACAGTTTGTAGCTGTGTTAGCATAATGGACGGGTTAGCTAGTTGAAAATGCTAATGAGCTAATTGTTTAAACATCGTCGAATAACGAAAAATGGGTCCAAACAAAAGGTCACGAGATGAAGCCTTCACTCCAGGTGGTCCAAGAAAAGGTTCACTTCTGGAGGCTTCTCTTGAAAACAAGCACCTACATGTTTGTTGTTGTTTATTTTAACAAACATTTCATTATAGCTGGATAAATGTGGCGGGACAGTGATGTGACGTGAAAACTGTGACTTTATTCAAATGTTTGAGTTTGGACTCGGTTTCTCTCTGAAATCGTCCACATGTCTGAGTCAAACTCTGCAGGAACATTCTGGACCTTCTCCTCCTGGTTCTCAACCAAAACCTTAATAACCTGAAGGGAAGCAAGAAAATAAAGAGTTTATTTCAACACACGAGCCTTTCTGGTTTGGAGAACAGGAGTTGGATCTAACTTTGCAACAAAGTCCCTGAAGCTTCTGGCTGTCTGTCTCTGACCATGATGGAGACCACCGCCTCGTCCAGATCCTCCTTTAGGCCCTCTGGGATTACATTACATGAGATTATACTTTAATGTGATAAAAACAAAAACCTCCACCAACACGTGCAATCATTGTTCTTGTTTCTTTACGTTGTGACGTGTATGAGTTTAATATTATTATTATTATCTCGTTAATGATCAAACCTGACACGAGTTCCTTTGAAGGCAGCAAGCCCCTCACCTTGGAATGAATAAAACAAGAACAGCAATAATTATAACGAGTAATGTTGAATAAATTAACCGACCTTTCGTCATCTCTTTACTTAAATAAGCCACGACTTTTCAACACCGTTTTTCTTGCAAGCGTCAGAATTCAGAACAGATGTTGCGCTGAAGCTCCAGTCGTGGGGTCTGTCCACGGACGATATGAAGAAGTTTCTGTTCTTAATGCTCATCAGACGGAGACGAGGTCAAGACCTCTGCCTTCCAGCTTACAGACGAGGAGGAGGCCTTCGAGTCGTCACGTGCACAGCTCCGTGCGCCTGCAGGCTCCTCTCTGCTCAGACGAAACAACTCGCCCACGTCAGTTACTAATAAACATCCATAACCTTTGTCTACATTCCTCTGACAAGTAAAGTTAATAATGCACTTTACAACAAATCACAAGAACATTTAAAAGAATTAAACAAAAGGCTTTAGTCCTTTTCAAACGCACTTTGCAGGTGAAGTCCTAAAGTGCTGAAACTCCAACACGTGCACAGGTTTTGCAGGGAGCCATTGATTTTATAAAAGCTGATGAACTTCAGACGTCGTCGATGACATCATGGTCCTGAACGAAGCCTCGGTACGAGCTTCGGCCAAGACCTCCAGGTCGTCTGAAGCTTCGGCCAAGACCT